GATACATGACAGTTTAAAATTACTATTACAGAATAATTCATACTTTTAGAGAGTTAATACTCATCAATATAGTGTAAACGAAGGCATCAATTATACTGTCTGAAGAAGTAATATTATATTCAACCCAGTTTAATTATCTGTTCGAATAGGAATTCTCAAGACAAGGTATGCACCACTGTCTTGATCAAAACTCCTTTATTGTCTTTTCATAAGGCTCACAGTAGTGTACAAAGAACAAACCAAAAGGAAAGAGCGATATCAAAGTAGACAGCGTTATAAGGAGGGAGATGGATTTTAAAAATCAAGGTTGGACAAAACATTCAACTTTTGGAAGAGGCCAAGGGGTAAATATATCTGCGCCACCGTGAACGGTTCCCACCCTTTTGACCAAGCCCTCAACTACTGACTCCTGTCGTCTTGGGAACCCCAACCAGCTACTTTACCTCTTCCTACAAGGCTCAGACCAGTAATCAAGGTCTTCATCAACTGGTACCACGCCTTATTGAGGTCAGCTTCAGCATCCTTCCAACCCAGCCCAGCTCTCCCTAGAATTGCACGTTAACGTAGGCTGTGACTCGGCATGTGCAGCACATATGTCTAAGCCAACTCAATCAATGAAGTTTCACAACCTCATTGATTGATTTCCCTTCATATCCTAGCAACCATTGCGTGATCTCAAAACTGCTCACTTGGTGATCCCACCACACACGACCAATGGTACGAAGACGCCTGTGATCAAAAACTTCTAACCGCTTCATATTTTCTGCTTTCAACAGCCATATCTCACGGCTGTACAACAGCACAGAACGAACTGCAGTGCAGTGTACTCCTCCCTTGACAGATAGTTGGATATCTCACCAGTCGGCTCCACAGATGACGCAAGTTGGTAAATGTCAAACAGAAATACTGTGTCCCAACTGAGATTTCGTCAGCAACCAGCACATTCAAGCTGATGCGACTTCCCAAATAAGTGACACATTCCACCACTCGACTCCCTATCATTTCACTGCTAATACTTGCAGCAGACTAGTCCTGGAATAACATCTTAAATTTGACAGGTCCCAGTGAAACGCATGCCAAACATACTCAGATTCCTTTTCAACACGTTTAGAAGACCCTGCATTTTTTCGGTGTCTGGACCTAGCAGGATAATATCGTCTACGTACTCCAAGTCAATCAGATGACCTCCAGGGGGTAGATCAATGTCTGTGAAGTCAGATATGCCTAAGGTTATGTTCATTCGTATATCGATAACGAAACTTATCAGAAACTGGAATACCGAGACAACTGAGCTTATATATCTCAAATACGTGTGGGAAGAAACATTATAAATGGATATTTGGTGGATAATGCCATACCACAAGATACTACACACACAGAGTCAACTCTTCAGGAATTTTAGCTAGAAAACGGTCTCAATGATTGAGTTACTTCTGAACATATCTACTCGAAGACCCTTTACCATCACATAACCTAATGATGATCGTTTACGCTTCCTTAAACACTTTGAACCAATCTCCATCTCAAATATTGCTGATCCGTAATACCCTCTCTGAAAAACCACTCGTAAAGTAATAACTGAAAACGATATGCTATTAAAAACAACATAGAACGAAAACAGTACTTTGAATTAAGAGTCAGGATAATGCGGAATCTTAAACGAAAGGGTAATGTTCCAGCTCATCAAAACTAACAACAGAAAAAATTAACATAAGCGGAACAATATAAAAGTTGATGTATAAAAAAGCTCAATGAAATAATATATGAGCAATAATATTTCCAACACATCCTTTAGTCTTTTCAAAATGTCCTGAAGTGCAAAGCTCTCCAAAAATCATTCATGTTTACTTGTATTTAGCACTTGACTTAACTAATAGGTAGATCATACAAAATGCGATTAAATATAGGAAAAGAGTTTAATGGAAACACCTTTTTATTATAAACCACCATAGAAATGAAGTAGAACCGTCTTCAATAGATCAGGTTCACAATAAGCTCTTAGGAAAAATATATAGTAATGCATAAAATAAGAATCCCTTCCTAACCCAATAAAATAAGACATTTATGACTTGATTTCCAATAGAAACCTGCAATTAGGGAAAAATTCAGAAAAGCAATCGATTCCTTGATTAAATGTTAATTTGCAGTAACCTAAGGGAAAGCATATATTCTGAAAACCATTACCTGTTTATTACTTTATCTCAGTGATGAAATCTACAGGGGATCGACAATCTGTGACCAAAAATAGTAAGACAACGTCCGAGAACCGAAAATCGATCAAACAGCAATGATATTGATCCAAAGGTCAACCACTGAAATCTCATAACTCAAAGTGAAAACCTAACTTAAGAAGTGAAATGCAACATGTTGACAAAACAGTAATACAAGCAATCAAATGAACCGTAAATCAAAAAACACGGCTACATAGTAATACTAAATTGACAGCTGAACACCAGTGTAGAGCATCTTACACAAGTGAATCTATTTAAGTTGCCTTACTTTACAGAACCATGCAAATGACAAGTGGATAGACAAAGGGCGATACTAAAGTGGACAGAAGTGTATAGCAGGACAGAAACTTTAAAAAAAACTAAGGATATTGAAAATATCCTGCCTTTTGATAACGTCAGAGTATATATTGTGCCCCTGTGACTGACTTTCAATCATTACCGAGACTATCTAGCCGTTAATTACAATCAATTCAATAACCCTAACCTGGTACACTACATCTCCCTAAACGGCTCAGATGAGCGGTCACAGAATTCATGGATTAATACCACATCTTAGTCTAACCACCCTAAGCCTTCTACCAGATCAATCCAATCTCACCGAACACCACACACCGATGCAGGCGGTAGTGATTACTTAAAGTAACTAGGGAGCGAAGCTGCAGGAGCCACTACAGATGTTAAAAAACCAATCACGATTCTGAATATACATCAAAGTTAGCTAAGCAGCGTAAATAAAGCTGATTAGTCAGATGGAAATTTGGTTCCTTTAATTCTCACAGTAAACTACTCATCATTATACTTACCATACTATATTCTTAAGATAATTTGTAATGTCTTTATTGTGCCAAATTGTCATAGGAGTTTTGGCCACGTAGTTAACAATACCTCTGTTAAAGTAGATTGAAGGGGAATAATCAAATTGAGCATAGCTTGTTGTGGGTTTTTCCTATAAGATAGTTTAGCATGGGCTAACAATATACATCATTTCTAGAAAATGGAACAAACGTGAGTATAACCACCAAAAACAGCACGCCTAGTGTTCAAAGAAGTTGAGCCCTATGTCAGTAGAATTAATATGGATAAAGAAGGGTATAACCGTTAATATTCTAGACATCAGTTGATAGCAATGTCCCACTTAAAGTATTCTTCGTCCTAATTAATGATGACATACTAGAAGTCACTCTCCGTGAGAATCTCTTCTTCATTGACATGAATGTGTCAAGAGACTACCTTTTAATTTTAAAAACCGTTGACTTCAGAAAATAACAAATCAGGAAAGCGTCAAACACTATTTAAGCACATTCGTATCAGTAGCGCATGACACATGGCATTCAGGCGAATGATTTGAATAAACATCACAATTCAATAATTTTTCGGCTAACAAATAAGTTAACCAAAACTTATGACAAAAATACGCATTTATCAACGACCGTTTAGTGAGAACAATATGAACGCTCTCAAATTTTGTGACTACAACACAATGAAGTGAAGATCACGATTTCTACGGATGCTTTTGCTCAGTTAAAATTGGATAAATTACAAAAACGAGGGGATTATGAAAGTCATTGGTCCAAATCATATTACTGACATAAAAACCGGTTTCGTAAATCACAATTATCCCAGCCTTGCTAAGAATAATGAGAACCCTCATACTATTATGGTTATTATCACAGCCTGAAATCTAAGGTAAGCAAATTTAATCGGATTTCTTAGGAGAAGCTACAAAACAATGCAGAATGGTAAAAGAGGGATTGTGGACAGTTGGGTTGACTACTAAGCGATATAACACAAATATATAAGATATGGACCCAGGCAGAAACTACTGCCAATTCCTTGGCACAGGTGCGATATCATTCCAGGTCTCAGAGTTTCGCAGATCCCCAACCGCAAGCACATACATTCCAAAAATAATAACATACAATCTTAGACTAAATGATATGTCAAAACGGTGTATTACAAACGGATTAGTGATTAACCATTTAGATACACTTTAATCATTATTGTAGGTTAATTGTTACAGTCATCTTAGAAGTTTACTACCAGTAAAGAATCTATTAATAGCTCTCACTTAACATCAACGATCTTAATATACTGTCAGTGCAATCATAAATATTTTTACTGGTGCTACCTGATATTTGATATTTGAGCAGTATAGGTCAATCAATAGGCTGGGCAATCTCATCAGTACTGACGCTTGCATCTATATAATGTATAGCTTAAGTGGTCTTCTAGACATTTAGAGAATGCTAGCTAGCGAAGGTTGACAATACGATAGGTTACAATAAATTTACTGCAGAATGTAGCTTCCCCTACAGTTTAGATGATTTTAAAGATGGATAGTGGCCAGCAGCGGGACCCAGTACGCTGATCATTTCGCTCCAATCAACAGTGGGAAATTACAAGTTATGATATCTAAAGTTTAAATGATTGCTTAAGAATACCGTAGAGTAGAAACAGTCTTAACTTCAGTTAAACACTGAAAATATTCCAATGAAGCCAACTAACTATTCAATAAAGACGATTAATCATAAATCATCAAATGATACATGCTATATAGGTGAATATTTTGGCAAAGGCGACACCCAACTTCTTGAACTAGTGTAAAACAACAACAGCTGTCATGAATGAATTCGTCTAACATATTTTGTTATTTCATTTAGTATTTCTTACTAGACAGTAGTCGCACGTCCCATACATTACGTTCATCAGAATAAACGTTGGATTACATTTCAAGCATTGAAAATATATTATAAAAAATTGACTACTTACTCAGTTGAGTTTATCTGGAAAGTTTGTTAAATTTTGGAAACAATAGGAGACAATTTTTCTCAAATAAAATGACCAATGTCAGAATTCAACTGTTTAAGATTCATTTAAATGTTCATTATGTTTAATATATTAAATTATTGAGATGATCGACTTCACACATCCACGTTAGATAAGACAGTTCGGAGAACACTAATGCTTCGTCACATCACAATACGTGTGAGATGATGTTCAATGTCATTGAGGGAGCTGCAGTGGTGTGACCTTGAAACCACTACCAGGATTGGTAATCATTTGTCCAATAGTAAACAAGTTTTAATCTGATTGGTCAAATGACAAACGAGGTGATAAGGTTCAACATGTTAACTAATACCAAATGTATGATTCAGGGTATTTGATGAACTAGAATCGAGACATGAACATGTCCAAATGATAAAGTCAACTTTTATCATGTGACAGGTACAGTTTATGTTGCACTGATGGTATGATAGAATATTAAATTTATTAAATCTGAACTAATTTGTTGGTTCGGAACAAAATTGTATAGCGTTTCAAATAATTTGTATTTTGGAATGCTCAACTTGAAGACAAACATTCTCATTACTCAGTCCTAACCATAAATGTTGTTCAATATGACTGTTTTCACAGAGTCGGTTGCTCAGTTCAAATGAACACATGTACAATGTGGGAACACTGATGTATGTGCAGACCGCTGCAAAAAGCATCCTATCAACAAACCGTAAAGGTGTGGACTGTTGTGACAAAAAAATGTTAGCGTCTGAAAAAATTATTGCATACCTTTCAAATCAGCGTTTCTGACACTATTCCTTGGCTAACACTAGAATTTGTCAATTTGATTGCATTCAAGACTCATTAGTTTCTTTCATTTGCAATCCAACATGTTGGTAACCTCACTTAGGATTGAACTTGTATCAGTTTTAAGTGATAAAGGTCTACTCATGAAGATAGTAAATAAAGGAACAATATGAATCAGTTTGACAAAGTTGTTGTGTCAGGTCCTATGATACTACCAAGTGGCTCAGTGCAAAGTAGGTGGCATGGGATTTGAGCCCAAGACCTACTGTCTGGAAGTTGAATAATTAGGCTAATGAGCCATAACTCCATATAAAGTAATAGAATGTATTCTTATGTGGTGGGTTTAAGTTGTTATAGCTTCCAAATATGCTCATAGTCATCTGAATCGATATGACCCACTTCTGATAAGTTCATTGTTCAATTATCCAAAATTATCTCAAATTTCTTCCCTTTAATCAGTGGTTATGTGGAAAGACGAAATCTAAAATTTAACGTGAGAATATAATTTATCGAGTTATTGAAATATTCAAAAAATTAGTCTAACAATAGGTGGTTACTTTTGTTCAATGAGTTAACAACAGGAAATTATGAACTATTATCAATAGTTCAAATTCTGTTACTCAGATTTTAGATTTTCTCAAACGTTTAGTTTTATAAATCTTCTATTTCATGAGTTTACATTGCTTCATTAATGTATTTGTCAAGCTTACATATCAAAATGAATCAATGAATTATTCTGCCTGAATTCATTGATGTTTCAAGTTCTACTACGCTGCAAATGTTTGTTGCATAGCTATAGTACTAACTACAGTTACACTAATTATTACGATTCTTATTTGTCCCTAGGATTCCTAGTAGAACATAGGGCTTCAGTAGCTCATCTCCATTACACTCTGTTCTCTGAAATCTTTTGGACCTGGTTCCACGACTGCCCAGAAGCTTTCATTTCTTCCTCGCACGATCTCCCCCATGTCACCCTCGACTACAAAGCCCAACTCGTCGCCTCCCATCTGGGTTCCACTCGAGTACCTGGCCTGGAGCGTGATGTCCCCGAATGGTCTTCTCAATGTATGACCAATCCATCTCCACTTCCTTCTGCATATTTGTTCAGCCATAGGTTCTTGCTTCGTTGGTTTGTTACCCCGCCAGAGTTCCTTGTTGCTTATTCTTATTATTCTGGCCATCTGAGCTTCGGTAACGAGCTAGCTTAAGCAGTTGTTGATGAATGTCTGTAGTTTGTCGGAAATCCCTTTCGTGATGCGCCAAGTCTCTGAGCTATACAGAAGCACTGACTTGACTGACGTTGGTGTTGAAAATCCGGATGTTGTTCACGCTTTATACTGAGTGCAGTGCAGAAGATCTCCACACTGTCTCCAGGTTAATGAACACTTGTCTTGCTTTTCCGATCCTGGCTTTGGCGTCCTCGTCTGTGCCTGTGCCGCCTGTAGTTGAGACAATGCTGCCTAGATAAGTGAAAGAGGCTACTCACTTTAAGTTTCTCCTATTGATGAAGCTTGTTGTTGTTGGCTGGGTATCTTCATCACCTCTGTATTCTCTACGTTCACTTGAAGTCTCGTCTTCGTAGAGAAGACGGTTAACTAGTTCACTAGTTACTAGCCCGTTCCAAGCCCGGGTAAAGAGGGAAGGCTGGTCGTAGGGCTAGCAACCCTACCCCGTCAAACCAATCAAATCGCTAAAGAAACTTCAAAGCACAAACAAAATATAAAAAATAAAAAGTTACAATAATAGTGGTACAAAATATCACATTATGTCCTGCACCGTAAACTTTAAGTTTGCACCGTATCGATCTATCTTATAGTACGGAAGTAATAATGTTTTATTCGGGTGGATAGTACTAAGCAAAGTAGGCTTTGGTGACTAAGATGGCTTGGATATATATTGCGCAATCAGCCGACTGCCTATCACAATGTGTAAAGTCAACCTAAGTGAGACTGGATTGGAACAAGTCTCAGAATGGCCAGTTCATGTAGTCCCGGAATGTTGGTCTGAGTCGTATAGGAAGGTACAGACTGCCTGGTTAAAGTCAGTGGCACTATGGTACAAATGTTTGGAAGCCCATGATGACGTAGCTAAAAACCGTTCACAGTCGTGCAGATGTATTCCTTTGTGTCTTCTAAAGATTGAACATTTTCCCTAACCTTGATTTTCAAATTCTATCTGTATGTCTGACAGATGGGTGTAAGACAATCAAATTCAGAGGTCTGCACAGCCATGTTTGACCGACTTCAAGTGGCTGTATAATGGACTCCATAGTCAAGCACATTAATACACTTTTTACTTCCACATACCTGATGAACATATCAACTTTGATGGAGCAGTCGATAGGAAAGTAGCAACCACTCACACCCTTCCAGCACTGTACAGAGGACGAACTGATCATAACTTACCTTTGCTCCCTCCTTTTTCTTCACCAACATAAGGTCACTTATCACTTCTTCTACTCCTGACCGTGCAACCATTGCTAAAGCTCCTAACCAGCAAAAGACTAGTCTTGATCTTCTAAAACAACGCAGCAAGTTTCAATATCCAAACCCTAGACCGGATTGGACAACAGGCCTCGACTGTCAAAACTCTACAGTCTCAAGTTATGGATGGATGTTGAGTTTCCTAGACACACATCCAAATCCATAGCATGGTTATTCACTTGACCTCACCTGACCAATGTGGTGAATCTACAAAATTCACTTAGCAACTGTATCGAGATTCACTGGTGTAGGTATGGCATTAAATGCGAGGGTAGGAAATTTACTTATAGACCGGATACCAGTTGTCAACCATATATGTGCTGTTCAACTGAACAGATTTATAAGAACTGGGATGGAGCTTGATGCTCCTCGATGCCCATTCACAGTCACCACCTACGCTCCCACTGACTGTAATTTGGTTGATTTGGTTAATTTCTAACGAAAACTGGTAATTTTGCTATGTAAAGCAAAACATTGGAATATCGTCATAGTAGTGGGTGTTTTTAACACTCAAGTAAGAAATCTCGGAGGTACTTACAGTATCCTATGCCAATGAATCGACAACGGTGATCGTCTCTTCAATATTGTTCTGACAATCACTTCTTTCTGGCTAGTACTAGCTTCACATATGAGAACAGACAGTATCTAATGAAACCTTCGTCAAAATTAAATCAACAGTAGACGCAAATAGATCATATTGCTATGAGCCATCCGTTCCAGAGGGCTACTGGAGGACTCCTGCTCCTTTTATAAGGCCTGCTTGGATTCTGATCAAACATTAGTTCATGTACATGTATTTTTTTCTTCCTAATTAGTACAAAAAGCAGTCACTGATGAAGCCTCTGTGTTTTTGACTGGAAGATAAGAATGTCAAGTATGTCTATTTAGAGAAGAGATAGCTAAGCATTTATGCTTACCTGGTAGCAGCTGTCATCCAAAGGAAGCCTGGAGTAACATTCGTTCTGTTTTCAAAATGGTGATTAGGATAATTTAGTAATATTTATCCAAATGTTAGTAAAAAGCCAATGGATTTCTACAATCTCATCTGAACTGAGTGATGTGAATAAACTTATTCAGACTAACTCCGACTACTTAGAAAATAGAAAACAGCGTAAGTACAAAGTATTCCAGAGACTTTGTAATAAATACGGGCAGTGATAGTTTTTTGAAGGTGAAAAAGATTGCGAAACTACTTGTAAAAGTTAATTATTTAAGCTAATTAAGAAGAGTGTCAAGATAGAGACACTGATAACCTCTTAGAACAGGCAGCTGGAACTCTTTGCAGAACATCCAAGTGATTATCAACTCCGTATCAGGACAAAAATGAACTGTATATCACAGTTCTAAAAAATCAAATCTAAATAAAAACCACAAGACAGAATCGTTAGGAAACCTTCCGATTCCCTCCATCCAACTAACATCTATTGTACTGCATCGCGTTGTTAAGTTACCTAAATCATATTCCAAAATGATCGACAGAATTCGATAAGCACTTAGAACTAGACAACATGAAGTTGTTTACCCTCCAGTAACCAATCAATACACCTAATCCAGTCCTACAGGAGGTTAGTCACAACTTGAATAACTCAAGGGTTACGTCTCTGACTGAAGCGCTGAGTGACATAGGTTCGAATCGTATACGGGACATCAGCTCCGCAGAGATTTCAGATACATCTTGCTGATGAGTGCTAAAAAACACGAAACCTACGTCTAGCAACCAGTTACCTCCATCCAACTTACTAGAGCAAACCTCTTCATTTTCATTACTTCATGAATTTAAACACGGCTCATAGCTCGTTTTCTTTTGGCTATGAGAATGTATGCGGACGCCTCGATACCCGTGATAATTTCATTTTGATACTAATGATGTAAAAGTGGCTGAAAATGGATTATTAGATGCATTTTTTATTCTATTTAGGATCCATCAGATGGATGTAAGCACCTAATTTGTTCAATCGATGATGGGATTTTCCAAACTATAACATTAAACTAGACTTGTTGTACAAGGAGTGGCAATTGTGACTCAGTAGCTTAACAGATAACACGTTGACATTTGAAGTAATGGATACCGGGTTGGAGTTTGAGGAAGAGAAGCATCACTCACTGGGAGGCAGGTGCATCCAGCTGGTAAGTTGCAAATAGATGGAAATACATCCTGAACTCTACTCCTAGCTTCTATTCACCATCACAGATCACCTTAGTCCGACAGTGTTGAATAATCATAGTTTTACTGCAATAGTTATATCAGCTGGGTAGTTCAATCAATTTGTAGTAGCCTTTATATAACAAACAGCTACCCATAAGTTATATAGAAGTTATTCGACATCAGGCAAACTTTTACAAGTAGATATAAAGATTAAGTTCTACCTGAAATAACATAATATACTACTGAAAAACGTGAGTAGTAAGAAACTACTCAGGTTAATCTGTAGATTTCGTCAGTCAGATGAGACTGATCTAAACACCGAACTATCTTTTCTCTTGTCTGGTGGTGAGCTCATCAGTGGTGAACCCGGAAGAATTCAGATCACAGAACCAAGTTATTAAGATCACCTGGATCATATTCCTCCTGGTGATCAACAGTCGAATCCAACACGTGCGTTTCGTCCTACTTGGGACTCATTAGTAGGATGTACGTTCATTCCAGTGAGCGATGTTGTCGAACTCACTACACATTGCCTCAAATGGCAAAGCGTTATCTACTTGGTCACTGGGGCACGAAAGTCACCTTTTGAGAACATAATGAATATTCAGGCAGTACTGACGCCTCTGCATAGAAGCTCGTCTGCCGACAGAGGTAGAACAACTTAGCCCATTATAGGAAACAATAAATCACAAGTATCAATAAACATTAGATTATGTAAAATTGCTTAACATTCATCGCATTCTTTTTTTTCCCTAGAGTTACATACTAATAGAAATCAATAATTGCTCACTTGAACAAACCTGAGAAAACAAATTAATTTCACCGATACAAAGAATTAACCAGCTAAACATTGAAAAAATTCCTTTGCACTTGACTCATTGTCAAAAATCACAGTTAATATATCACAAATAGATAAGGAATGAAGAAATCAATGCTTGAATGACATCGTATTCATGCACAAAGAAACAATGAAGCAGAAAAACTGAAATCACATCTATGAGAAGTAATAATAATAATAATAATGTCCTTCTTCCGGTTTCTGAAATTTAGTAACACTTTCAAATAAAATGTGGAATATTTCAACAAACAAATAATATTGAAATTAGAAACACTAGTTAGTCATTGGAGGGTGACCAACTTAATCTTGCCTGGTCCTAAGTCCTAAGTTTAGGCAGCTCAGCAACGCTGTACACTTTGATAAATGTTAGTTGGCCATATTGCAAAACGATTCGTGGAATCGATCAACACTTAGGACTACACAACATGAAGTTGGTTACCCTCCAGTCACCAATCAATATATCTAATCAAGTCCTATAGGAAGTGAGTCACGATCCAAATAGCTCAGTTGTAACACTGGGTGACACGGGTTCGAACCTCAAGCAGGATATACCACTTCCATCGGGGTTACAGATACACCTTACTGAAAAGTGCCAACAAACATGAAACCTAAGTCCATGGCTTCCTGTCAGTTGCTACCGTCCAATTAACATTGAAATTAGACGCTAAATTTCACTTGATTTATATGAAAAATGTGATTATTATCCGGTGTCATTCCGGATCGCATTGATCGATCTCTGTTGGTATGTGAGCTCCTATCCAGATGCCTGAATATTCCCTGAATGTTTATTGTTACAACTGACTTTGTTGTGACAAGCGGTAGGATCCAGGACGTGCTTTTCACCTTCTTTGGGGCTCACCAGCTGAATGCACCTGCACTTCAATGAGTAATGTTGTTCTCTCCAAGGTTCGAACCCCCTTTCCATAGCTTAAAACAGCGATTTATTGTCTACTAAGCCACTGGGGCTAGATAATAACCAACTGAGTCACTGGTTTCAGTTATTGTTATTCATTGATAATTGCGATTTCCAGTTATTATACACGGTTCCAAGTTGGCTGACCTCTGTTGGCATATAGCCTCTTATGTGGATGCATTCAACTAAACATGAACGAATATCGAGATAGGTATGTGTGTCAGTAACCTGCAGAGTTTTATCAAGTTGTTTTACAAGTTACCCTATTGTCCAAGCGCAAAATACCACCACTATAACATTCTAGTAATTATGAAGTGAATGAAGCAACTGTGAATCAAAAGTTTGAATCCAACACCAAGAAAACGAAATATAAAGATTGAATCAGGTGAACACCGGCTGCATAAGATGTGGCTTTTGTGACCTAGTGCTCTAGTGGATAACGCTTCGGGTTTTGGTGCGATGCCTACTGGGTTCCAGTTTTAGAGGGAACACCACCACTCACTTATGTGCAAGTACGTCGAACTGACGAGTCCTAAATAGGACGAAAGGTGCATCTTGGATCCCGATGGCAGCCCTAATCAAACAAATTATAACATTTATCTCCACAGTTTTGAAATGAATAGCAAAATGAACTTTGCTTTCATATTTGAAATAACTTGTACAAGTGGATAATTTAGGTGGACTTGAGTAAAAAGAAAGTCTACACCGATTATTAAAAGGCAGGAAATTGATATGACGAAGTGAAGGAATGGTTTATAATTATACTTAACTCATTATTAAAAATCTACGCCATTATAATCATCATAGGAGCATATTCATAAAGTTTTCATCTGATGGTGTAAAAGGTGTTTTTAAGTTGATGAATAGCACTACTCATTAGTAGCATAATTATCATCAGAGTTGTATTCAGGGTCATAAAGTATTTATTATACCAGAATCTTTAAAAAGATGGATAGTGGCTAACAGTGGAATCCAGGATGCACATTTCGTCCTATTTGGGACTCGTCAGCTAGATGTAATACAAGCAATAACATTAATGTTTTTTTGTTTGAGGTCTTTGTAACCTTTGAAAAGGCAAGTATGAAATCATTTCTCACTTTAACATATTAATAGTTACAATCGATGATCAGTAGAAAACTAGGTGAAATACAATTCTTACTTTCCATCTCTAGTCTTTTTAGTTGCTGTCTACAGATATGCTTATACTATTACTACTACCTTACAGTCGTCACCACTTGTTTCGACAAGGTCATTCTAGTTACTACGACTGTACATAGATAGTTTTAAGCAAGCGATGAATATCTTTTCAGGTCTATGAATCATTTCACACACACACACACACACTCAAGTCGGATGTATAGAGGTTACACTTCACATACTTGATTCTTGTTGTGTGTATTCTGAAAAGCATTGGGGCACACTACACACGCACACATACACTTGCAAAAATATATATAGTTGTGCTAAAGCACATTCATAACATGCATTCATGTGTATATAGCACAGAAATAGCATATTTATAAATGAACCTTGTGAACAAGTGGTAATCTCATACTTTTGTCAGTCTACTAGTTAACTACTTTCAAACATGTTTGCTGCTTACACACACATTTTCAGTTGGCCAACCTTTGCAAAGCTGATGATGATAGAATTTAAACAAAACAAAAAGAATACGCGTAAAACACACCTACCATTTGTAGGTAGATGATTTAGTACGAATTAGTGTTTTGTTTGCTATTTTTATGCTAAAGACAACTCTCTCTCTCTCTCTCTCTCTCTCTGTTTACACTTACAAATGACTCACCATATCTCAGTGATGAATAGTTGTACAATGACCTTTGAAATGATTCAGTTGATTGTGCTGAACGGAATGAACGCCTGGCACCTAGTACAAATGCTATGGCAGTAATCAGCTGTTTTATAAATGGGTATAAATACTTAAAATAGTAGTCTTCCATTTTATCATTGAACGGTTAACAAATATCATGCATCGTGCTAGATTCAACCAAACCCAACCGAATAACAACGCCATTGAGGTCACTAACTTAACTGAGAAGCTCTTTCAGTGACTTTAAAGGTCACCCTAGCAACTACAGAAATGACCAATCATGTTTCGCGATTCCGAATGGAAAGTTAGTTCTTCGTAGGATAAGGAAACGTGATTGGTTGTCTCAGCAGCTATTTGAGCGTTCTTTAAAGTCACTCATTTTTACTGTATATTGTCCTGGATATAGGATCAATCAGACTATTTGACAGGGTTAGGTGAATGACTCTATAAGCCATCCAGGTCACGACTGAAATAACCGTTTCAATCGGGAAACTGGTTTTTTCGCAAGATGCAGAACTCTAATTGGTTACTTCCCAAGTAGTTAAGGTGATTTTTAGGGCAACTCAAGTAGGTTATGTTAGCGAAATGCACTAGTGTAGTTAAATTTAAAATGATGAATGAGAAAAGGCGGGTGATTTTAAAGGCCACCCATGCAACGGTCGAAATGACCGATTAGGTTTCCAGTGCTCTCAGATTTCCAATGTTCCTCCAAATGATGTCAGTCGATGATGAATTCCAACCTAAAATCAATTAATAAACCTCCACAATATAGCGCTCATTTGTGACTCACTTCAAGAGGTGATTCTCGAACTTCCAATGGGAAGTCGTGACCAGTGGAGTCAACTAAGTCGAACATGTATGGAGTTACTCAACGACGACATTGGATGTAGGCCTTGCTATATCGTGAACTAACAGAGGTAGGAAATATGAACCTTTGGATTCCGACGCAGTGGCTAGCTCAATGGTCCTGGACACTGAACCTGGAGGTCATGGGTTCGATCCCTAGTGGGATGACCATTGGTGCGCACTGCTCGGGAGTCCCATACTAGGGCGTAACAGCTATCTAGTGCTCCCACGTTTCCAATGGTTTTCCAAATGATGTCAGCCCATACTGAATTCCGACCTAAAATAACTGTTGCTGTACTTGTAATTCTTCTTTTTTTTTTGCTGGATCGAACTGTTCGACCTCTATTGGTATATGGGCTCCTTTGTGGGTGCCTCGATATTGCCCGAATGTAAATCATGGTAATTTAGTTGGTTGTGGCTAGCAGAGGAACCCAGGACGTGCGTTTCGTTCTATTTGGGACTCGTCAGCTGGATGTTCTTGCACCTCGGTGAGTGATGATGTTCCCACTGAGACTCGAACTCTTTACCCGTCGTTTCAAACACCAAGGCGTTATCCACTAGGTCACTGAGGCACGGTAGCCACTTCTTGTACAACGGGTAGTAGTTATTAATATTTATTGATATACTTGTAATTCTTGTAGGAAACTCGCGTCCTGGATTCCTCTGTTAGCCGCAACCAACTAAACTGCTAAAATAATTAGTCGAATTATAGTATTAAATCTAAAAGTTGTGGTTACTTTGATAAGATTTTGACCAGTAAATTGTTTGATAAATGTCATCTAGTAAGTAATAATGATTCACTGCATGATACACCTGATTAAAGAGCTAAAACAAAACTATGGGCTAACACAGTGTCACAATTCTACAGCTACAATGTCAATGTTATATTTCAACATTTTTACAAGACAACGAAAAAGGTGGATGAGAAAGGAAATAAAAATGCCCCAAAGGTATTTGTCCATGATATCATGTTGTCAAACGTTTCTGAATACCTTTCTTTCCATTGGTTATATGTGACTAATAATTCGATTTGGCTTTATACGACTCAGAAGATTCATCTACATAGTATTTTTGAGATGAATGGGAATTTTTTAATTTAGAAGTAGTATTCATCATAATAGTATTTAAATTCATTATAACTATGTCTGGTTTCAACTGATTCAAGCATGTGATTCTGCTAATTCGGCCTTAACGCTGACCTTGAATGTGATTGGTGCATAAACATTTGCCCGGTGTCGTATACTCATTTAACCACGCGATGAGTCAGTCAATGAGCTCCACTTCTACAATCTCGCACAACAGAACACAATGTTTCTTTGGTGCTTATTGTCCGTGCAGATTTACAGCGCTCTGATTCATCTATATAGTAACCAACTTACCTAACCACAATTTATAAAGCTGAACCGACCAATTTGAAGCACAAAAGGTAGGATAGCGCACAATAGTGGATTGATTTCATTCAATATGCAATTATTCCTGAACTATAATCGATACACAAGTGGCTGAGGAGTCAATCGAAAGCTCTTGAATAGATCTAGACAATAATGCAACCAATTAAACTATGAGGAAACTAGCTTCTAAAAATAAATGAAATAATACGACGAATGACACTTGTCTGAGGAGATTGATATTTTCAACTTTTCGGCTAATATAGCACTTTCAACCGCCTCAGTGGCCTGGTGGATAATGCTTTGGTATTTGAAGCAATGAGTACAAGGTTCGACTCTCAATGGGAACAACATCACTCACTAGAGTGCCGGTACGTTCAGCTAGCGAGTTCCAAACGGGATGAAACGCATATCCCTAATCCTTCTGTTAACCATAACCAGGTAGATTAAGAGTTGGATTCATTGATAAACAAATTCTCTAGGTGACAAAGTTCTCTAAGATCAGAGAAAATGATAGTTTTAATATCGTCAAGAATGGTGAGACTTACGATGTTGTAAAAGTGCTGAAAATGCATTTTTTTTTCCACTTGACTGTTAAATTAACAGCTTAACAATTAAAGTGAAGTGATTCTGTGACATTCTCCGTCTACTGGAGAAGGTATTACAAGAAATGTATTGGAGATTTAGAGAGAATTTCAAATGGTTTCGTACAGTATGACGCATTTGAGAAATACACTTAGAACATAATTTACTTTAGATATGATTTTTACAACTGCTTACGCTGGCTCGCTACTGAAGATCAGATGGCCAGAAAGAATAAGCAACAAGGAGCTCTGGGAACGAACCAACCAACAACCTATCACGCAACAAATATGCAGGAGGAAGTGGAAATGGATTGGGCATACACGGAGAAGGCCGATTGGGGACATCACGCGTCAGGCCAGGTACTCAAGTGGAATCCCCATGGGAAGCGACGAGTTGGACGTCCTTGGTGAGGGTGACATGGAGGAGGTCGTGCGAGGAGGAAATGAGAGCTTGTGGGCTGTCGTGGAACCAGGTTCAAAAGATCTCAGGGAACAGAGGTCACTGGAGACGTGCTACTGAAGCCCTATGTTCCACTAGGAACCAAAGGGACTAATAATAATAATAATAAATGATTTTTACTTCATGAAGCAATTACAAATAAATGATGAACCAAAAAATAGAATCCACCCAATGGGGAACTTATTAGAAAGACGACTAATACATGAATGTAACCCAGCCACTTGATCTTCGCTTCTCAGTTCCAGTGAATTTCTTGTTATTTTGATCCCAAATTAAGATTACAAGTTGCTGTTCGATAAAGGTTCAAATATTTCCAAGTTTATTCTTTAAAACTGATACTTAGACTTCAGGTCATCCCATTTAACAACAATAAACTCAGACTTGTTGAAATGTCTAAGTACCAGAATATCAAAATGACTGGTAAACCAGAAAACTTACGTCAACTACCCTAGTGAATTCATTCAGAAACACGTCAAGAGTTGTTGGAAAAGTACTAGGCATTATAAAATGATAGACATAAACAATATCAATCATGAAAATGTAAGACATGATTCGAAAACCTCCATGGTTATATTATATACAGAAAGTACCTCAAAAAATCTATGTAGGATTCACCTTAAGGCTCAGCTTACCGTGACGTTTGAACCTACAAACTCACTTGGAGAATGGTAGACCATGACAAGATGAGAAATCCATAAGAACAATACATATTGTATAAGAACATTAACTGAATTCTCCTCATATTGTTCATATAACGCATATGACAACAAATAACTTCTGGAAGGAAGGCATTGCCATAAATTATTCAATATACCTTACTTTTACCGCAGTTTAGGATACTAAACGCTGATTGGTCCATTTTACACTTTTAATACACTATTTGTTTTCCCTGGTCAAGGCCATCCATGGATACATAAACGACTGAGTTTTCAGCTATCATGATTCGGTTGAAGTAAAAATACTTTCAATTTGATTGTCTTCTTCTTGTGTTAGCTGAATAGCGAGTTGAGAAGTCATTGTTCTATCGTCAGTCGCATCGCATCGGAGCATTGCATGGTTATATATACCCTGAACCACAACACTCGCTTAGCGTTCTATGTATCCATATGCATACAGAACCAAACTATAGTAAAGTCTTATAAATTAAAAAGAAAATTATTGTGACTTAATGTTGAACCGACTGCGGGAAAAAGTGTCCATTGTAAGCAATGAGAGTTTCTGTCTTCATCTGAGTGTTATTTTCCCCACTAGGACTCAAACTCAGTACACATGACTCCAAAAAGCAGAACGCTATCCACTAGACGCTACTGTGTTACACTAACCACTCCCTGTCTAATGAATATAATTGGATATTAGGACTCGTTATGTTCTTCCATTGATCAGGTTGAAGCTAATTGATTGGCTCCTATTGGTATATGGTCCACTGTGTGAATACCGCGATATAGTCGATTATTTCCCCAAGGAACAATTCACCTTCATGTATAAATGACAGACTGTACAAATCAAAATCTTATTTAACACTTTAAAAGTATAAAGATACCTACCTTCGATTACCATCGCTAAATTATGGCATAAAGACAGGTAGAAATTTCAGTCTACTTGGTAGCAACTAACAGTGAAATCCAGAATGCGCATTTTGTCCTATTTGGGACTCGTCAGCTGGATGTACCTGCCTCCCAGTGAATGATATTGTTTTCACCAAGACCCGAACCCCGATAAATATGATTCCAAACGCCAAAGTGTTATCCCCTAAGTCACATGTAGAAGTTGTCTAAAGTACGCAACACTAATATTGTTTAGTAAAACAAACAATGTGAGCGAAGAAATATTTCTTTTCAATTAGTTCCTCATC